TCCAACCTTATTTGGCAAAAGAAAAAAAATGCATAAGCAACATGTTCAGTGAAACCTTTAAATTAATTAACAAATAAATGAAAACAAATAAAATTCATTGGGAAATACCAACCTAATCTGATTGTCTCAAACGTTAAACTTAAATCTCTCTCTCTCTCTCTCTCTCTCTCTCTCTCTCTCTCTCTCTCTCTCTCTCTCCTCTCTCTCTCTCTCTCTCTCTCTCTCTCTCTCTCTCTCTCTCTCTTTAAACAAACCAATAACCATTTCTTTAACGTACAGACCGCCAGCCAACCATAAAATTAAAATAATTCGTGACAGAAGCGGCCATTCTCATAAGAACAACCACGGCAGCGCGAGGTCGTGTTATGTTGTGATTGAGGAATTGAAAGCCTATCTATTGCCAGGTGCTGTTGGGTTGTTAAGGTGGTTGGGTACTCTCTTTTCTTTCTCGCTTTCATGTTTTTTTTTTTTTTCGCTTCGCTCTCTCCTTTCCAATCGGTCAGGTTGACTGTTTGTCTCTCTTTGTCTGTATGTCTCTGTCTGTCTCTTTGTCTGTTGTCTGTATATCTGTATATCTGTCTTGTCTGCCCGCCCATCCCCCGCCCCTCCCTCTCTTCCTCTCCCTCTCCCTCTCCCTCTCTCTCCCCGCTCCCTCCCCTCCCCTCCCTCTCTTCCCTCCCTCTTTCTCACTTCTCTTCTTCCTTTTCCTTCTGCATTCGACACGCCCACTCACCCCCAAGCCAAAGGTCAAGCAAGTTCACTCCAACTCGTTGTATTAATACATTGTCTTTATGCCGTCTGTCCAGTTTGAATCTGTCCTTCTCTTTTTCTCTTCTTCTTCTTTACTTTCCATTCATTTCCTCTCCCTTTCTCACCCCCTTCCCTTCCCTTCCCTCCCCCCCTCTCTCTCTATCTCTTCCCTCCCCCCCCCTCTTTCTCTCTCTCTTCCCTCCATTCTCTCCCCCTTCCTCTCTCTCTTCCCTCCCCCCCTTCTTTCTCTCTCTTCCCTTCCCTCCCTCCCTCTCTCTCTCTCTCTCTTCCCTCCCTCCCTCCCCCTCTCTCTCCCCCTTCCCTCTCTCTCTCTTCCCTCCCTCCCCCTGTCTCTCTTCCCTCCCCTCCCCCTCCCTCCCCCTCATTCTTTTCATCTCAACCTCCTCCCCTCCCGCCCCATTTCCCTCCCTTTAGCACAGACTACATGCGTGTCACCCTTTCATAATCGCCTCCCGATGGATCATGCAACCCTGCCATGCGCCCTGTTGCGGTTCAGATCGTCCTGCACATGACTTAAATGCCAGTTAACCACCCCATCCTCCCCTCCTCCCCCCCTCTTCCCTCCCTCTCCCTCTCCCTCCTCCCTCCTTCCCCCCCTCTTCCCCCCCTCCCCCCCCTCTTCCTCCCTCCTTCCTCCCCTCTTCCCTCCCTCCTTCCCCCTCTTCCCCCCCTCTCCCCCTTCCCACCCCTCTTCCCTCCCTCCTTCCCCCTCTTCCCCCCTCCTTCCCTCCTTCCCCCCTTCCCACCCCTCTTCCCTCCCTCCTCCCCCCCTCTTCCCTCCCCTTCCTCTTCCCCCTCCCTTCCCTCCCTCCCTTCCCCCATTTCCTTCTTCCTCCCTCCTTCCCCCCCTCTTCCCTCCTCTCCTTCCCCTCTCCTTCCCTCCGCCCCCCTTTCCCTCCCTCCTTCCTTCCCTCATCCCTCCCTCCTTCCCCCCCTCTTCCCTCCCCCTTCCCCCCTTCTTCCCTCCCTCCTTCCTTCCTCTTCCTCCCTCCTTCCCCCCCCTTCCCCACTCCTTCCCCCCTCTTCCCCCCCTCCTTTCCCTCCTCTCCTCCCTCCTTCCCCCCTCTTCCCTCCCTCCTTTCCCCCTCTTCCTCCCCCTTTCCCCCCTCTTCCCTCCCTCCTTCCCTCCCTCCTTCCCCTCCTCTTCCCCCCTCCTTCCCTCCCTCCTCTTCCCCCCTCTTCCCTCCCTCCTTCCCCCCCCTTTTACCATCCCCCTAACAATTATTCGGTGTAACTAGCCATTCCACATTATATAAAACATCTTGTGACACACGCAAGGCCGGGGAGTAAACAGGCGGCCAAAACAAAACGCCATTTTTAAAGAAGACTACAATCTCGTAAAAATATATGGCTCATAACAGCATAAAGAAGCGGGGACGCGGAGTCATGTCTCAAGCTTGCATGTGCTTGTGCGTGCGTGCGTGAGTAATTTGGGTGATTTGTGAGTGAGTTGAGGAGAGTGAGTGAGTGAGTAGTTATGAGTGTTGTGTGTGTGTGTGTGTGTGTGTGTGTGTGTGTGTGTGTGTGTGTGTGTGTGTGTGTGTGATGTGTGTGTGTGTGTGTGTGTGTGTGTTGTGGTTGTTGTGTTGTGTGTGTGCATGAGTTGAGAAGAGAGAGAGAGAGAGAGAGAGAGAGAGAGAGAGAGAGAGAGAGAGAGAGAGAGAGAGAGAGAGAGAGAGGAGAGAAGAGAGAGAGAGAGAGAGAGAGAGAGAGAGAGAGAGAGAAAGAAAGAAAGAAAGAAAGAAAGAAGAGAGAAGAGAGAAAGAGAGACAGGGGAGACAGAGGCAGAGCAGAGACAGACGGAGAGACAAAAAGCAGCGAGTGCGTGTGTCCGTGAGCATAAAACGTAGGCTGGTGCGTGTGTTCGTACATCCTCCTCCCCCCCCCCCCCACGCCCCCGCCCGCCCATACGGGAAAAGGGGAAAGCGCCCCGTACACGCGGCAGAAACACGTGTGCTTCCCCCCCCCCATCGACGCGCGTGCCCCCCCTCCCTCCCCTCCCCCAACCACCCAGCCCTCCCCCTCCCTCCCCTCCCTCTCCTTCCTCCCTCACACTTCCTTCCGCTGAAACCCTATCGCCATACACACACTAATCCCCTTGCTCTCTTCCCCACCTTTTTCCTCCCTCTTTGCTGCTTCTCTTCCACTCATTCTCTTCATCGTCAGAACTTTTACCTGGTTGTTTAGTCTCTCTTTGTTCTTTATCTCTTTCTCTCTGACTCTATTTCTCTAATTCAATTTCCCTTTGTTTGATCTGTCCATCTTTGTGTGTGTGTTTGTGTGGTGTGTGTGTGTGTGTGTGTGTGTGTGTGTGTGTGTGTGTGTGTGTGTGTTGTGTGTGTGTGTGTGTGTGTGTGTGTGTGTGTGTGTGTGTCGTGTGTGTGTGTGTTTACTTCCCTCAAAATCTCCTTCCGTCAAGACTGCTTCCGTCTACCTTCCCCTGTCTAGCGATCCCCCTTCAACTATCTCTCCCTTACTATCTCCCTCTCTCTGTGAATTCGTATCTTATCTCCCTCTCAGTCCCCCTGCTTCCTACTCCATGTACTCTTTCACACTTGGTATCACATCACTCTTCCGTCTCCTTTTTCCTCCCGTGCAAAAAGGGCCATTAGCCTTCGCCGCGTAACACAAGGCTAGACGATGAGCAGGTGACGAGGGCGTGTGTAACAAGGACAAAGCCAGTCGGGAACGTGCGACTGTCACAAGGACAAACACGGTGTAAATAAGCCGCGTCCGTCCTTGGTCTCAACATCGTGCCTTCATGGCCGTTGACGCGGCTGTCATTTTCCATCAAATTACCGTTGGTTCCATTCTGTGTAGTTATGTCTCTGTCTCTGTCTCTGTCTCTGTCTCTGTCTCTGTCTCTGTCTCTGTCTCGTCTCGTATCTCCTTCTCTTCTCTTCCTCTCCCCTTTCCCCTTCTCCTTTCCCTCTTTCCCTCTCCTTCTCCCCTTCCCCCTTCCTTCTCCCCTTCCCCTTTCCCTTCCTCTCCTCTTCCCTTCTCCTTCTCCTTTCCCTTCCATCACTCACTTCGTACCCTTCCACTGTACTCCTAGAAACATCGTGAAATGAAAAGTTTTTGCGTATAATTTTATACTTGTCTTCCGACCCGAGGATTTTTTTTCTACTTTGAAGCCTTCGATGGACAATTCAATGGAAAATAAACAAGTAAATACAAGAAGTTCATAAGCTCATATAATAGGAAATAAACAAGTAAATACAAGAAGTTCATGAGCTCATACGTGTGTTGTTTACCCGCGCCAACCATTCCGATTTAGAGACGGTCTGTAGTTCCGTCAAAGAACAGCGAACGCGTATCATATGACAAGCGTAAGGTGGAGGGCAGGATAGAGGCAGAAAAACGGGAAGCTAAAAGGGGGGGGGGGAGGGGGGGGAAAGGGGGAGAGAATTCAAGACGTATCAGTGTATGTGTGTGTGTGTGTGGGTCGTGTCTGTAGACTCTCCCACCTCGGCAACTATCCACTAACACAAAGGATTTGACGCCGAGATGGTGAAGGTGGGGGGGAAGGAGGGAGGGAGAGAGGGGGAGACGAGTGTCTGAGGGGGGTCTAAGACATTCTACCCCCTCCCCCACCCCCAACACACTCCTAATACGCGCGTTAGCCTCCCTCTCCCTCCCCATTCCCCCCAACCCAACCTTTTTGTCAGTGTCATTTCTTCCTTCAAGAAAGGTTTCATTACTTAAATTGTTTTTATTTCGATATCTTGATGACATAGCAAACAAAACTGATATGGTGAAATGAGCTTAAATGAGTTGGAAGTTACATCCGCTGTATATTTTATCTTGTTTTACGTACACGAGTGAAATTGCCACGAATGAGAGAGAGATTATGGTTGTTAAAATACTCGTGCTTGGAATGGCGAAATTGCCTTTCATTATAATTTAGCCAGCATTTAAACAATCGTTGATCCGGGTTAGATACACAAATAAACAAGCCGCACATACTCTACTATCAATTAGATATCGATAACATAAGAGAAAAAAAACAAACAACCACTAAAATGCAAGGTAATACGAACAAAAAAAAGGCTTGAACACAGGTAAAGCCAGGTAAATGAAATGTGCACTTGACGCGGCGAGCAAGAAGACAAGTTTAAGACTAAATCTTCCCTTAAACTTCTCCCAAGATTCTAATACCCGACTGTCGATATGCTAAGCCAAACTTTCTCCAAAAATAACAATATAAAAAAACAATTCGCCAATCTTACCTTTTGATATCGGGAAAAGTCCGACAAGCGGCAACAGGAGGAACGTCGCAGATTGGAAGTAAGATTTATCACTTAATCCTGATAGGCAGTTGTCACAGGGTTACACTATATATAGAAGTGTTATTAATGAGTTAACTAGGTCAGCAGTTAGAGCAGGGTAGAGTACACTCTCACAGACTTGGCTGCGCGCGTATTCTATACCAGTTTGTGAGAGAGGATCACAGGCAGTGACGAGTGCTGCCTTGTTCTCAAACTCCCAACCCTTTTCCTCTTTTGGGTAAAAGGGCAGGTTTTGGGGGGTTGAAATATCTTGTAGGTAGGGGAGTAGTTCTGCTTTCAATTGGGTTGATTGATTCGTAAGGTTTAAGTCAATGGAGTGGTTAAATTTAATGTTCTCGGATGTAAATTTCGTCCGTTGACGTACCAGGTGGGGGAGGTGGGAGTCGAGATTGGGGGGAACGCGTCTTAGCTGGGGAAATTTACGTCTTCTCTGCCAGTAAACCCCTTTTCTTCGTAAAAACTCGCTCAACTTTCTTGACATGGGTGTCTCTACTCAGAATAAAATCGAGAAAGCTCTAGAACGAGTGAGTGAAGAGAATAAAAATGAATCGACCGTCGATATGGCAATCCGCGGTCCCCTACTCCTCCGACCACTGTTACGTGAGCGATGTTGTTCACAAACATGCAGTTCAAAGTTCTTCGTCGGATTTCCAAAAATGCTTAGTTCGATGATGATATCACTCTCATTTCCACTAATACATTATTAGGGCCGCCGAGTGGCTTTGTTCTTAGAACGTTGTTTGGATTTTGGGGGGTTTGCCTGTTGTCGTTTTCACGGATTGGTTTCTTTGTTTTGTTTGTCGAGTTTTGGGGATGTTTTGAGGTTATGATAGTCCGTCTGAAATATATCGCCACACGTCAGAACAATTAGAAAAGGAAGTATTTCGAGACAAAGAAATAAATGGTCAGATATTAAAAGGACATATCTATGTCACTTTTAGGGTTATTTTTCTTTAAGAAAGAAAGTAAATATTGATTTATAAAAATGAATCTTAAAATCGCTGTCAGTAATCCATCCCGATAAAAGATGGATCACAGTAGGAAAAGAACGGGAGGGAATCGATACACAAAAACAATTGAAAAATACATAACATGAAAAAAATGACATAATCTAAAAAAAGAAAGCATTAACAGACGTAGAAACAAGAGGAGTGAAGGGCATCGACGTGTGCTTATTGCAACATGTCGCATGAGGCAGCCCCGCTCATCAGCCGCTAAATTCAAAACATTCCCAGAGCAGGAGGACCGCATCAAACACTCACTTTCGCGAATATTAATCTTTGCTACGGCGTCCCCGGGTGGATTTAGGTCCTTCCGCCCTCCTTCGGGTGGAACGGACGGGTGTGGAGCGTCGGGGAAGGTGGTTCGAATACGCCTGGATTGGAAAAGAGCAACTTGGAGCCCAAAGAGAGGCGGGATTATTGATTTAGATACAAAGAGCGCCCGAGTTGCTCAAAGATTACTTGCATCCAAAAACTGCGTCACACGGTTCGATACCGCGTCAGGCCGAGATTTGGTGAGTTAAATATCGCGAAAAGTTTACTTTTCTCCATTTATTTCGCCGCGGTGAATGTAACACTCCATTCTAACGACGCAGGCCCACACAGGGACCCTCGGCCGACGTAACCCGAGGCCTCGGTCGGGCGCAGACGCATCCGCAGGCCAGAGAACGGGGCCTGACGGCGGCGCAGGCATTAATTCCGCCAAAGAGCGCCGGTCTGCAGTAGATTACTTGGAGCAGACTTCTCCCAGATCCACATGCACGACCCACTCGCCGCCCACAGCGACAACTCCCCACGCTATGCGGAGGGAAAGTCGCCCTTAGCGGTGTCGGCGCGCGCCCTTGTTGCCTTCAGACGAGTTACGGAAAGGTATCTCTTGGATGGGAAATGTTTCAAGCTATTGTGACAAGAGTTTTTATCATTTTACTTCAACGTTCTTTGATTGATTTACACTTACTTAGAACGCCACGTGAGGTCGGCCAAGTACTTTCAGTCTCATGGACTCCTTTCCGAAAAGGGTTTTCTGTCCGTTGAATATGGGTTTTCTCTACCCATGTAAGACGAAGAAAAAAAATGAAAGCTCGGATAATTCGGGAAATCGGTGATTAAAATGACATTCATTCAAGACGGAGACGAAACATTATGAAAAGCCACGCGGAAAGTGAGGAAATCCCTCCGTTTAAAACAAGGGACTCGCTCGCCGTCGCCGCCCGATCCCCGACGCTATTGCGGCCGTCCGTAAGGTCCAAAAGCCCGGCCACGACGCGTTTAATAATCGCCCTAATGCACGGATGACTCGAGAGTCTGCCATCTTATTTTTATTCATCGGCCAAGCAGATATCAAATGCAAGATCTCTGAGGGTTGTGATTATTCTGCATAAAGTCACCAGCTTTATCATATATATATTTATTTGTTATCCTTTCCTTTGAGTTCGGACCTAAGTCAAACTTACACAAGTTTAATGATTAGTGGCATGATTACATGTCATTCCTCAGCCTTTCTCCTATGTAAATATCATTGATGCGATACCGGAAAATGTATTTATGGAAATCGTAACAGATCCGTTTTGAATTCCGTTAAATGCGCATAGTTAATTAATCATCTCCATAATTGCAGGTGGGTAAATGTAATCAAAATGTAGAACACTGCAGAAAATAAGAGTGAATCAAAATGCCAAGTAAATAAAGCATTAATTAGTATAAATATGTCACACAAACAGGAGTCATTGTATTCACAGCAAGTCAAGTGGTAAAGGTAAATCTCTTATCCTTTAGTTAGTGACCTCCACTACTTTAACAGCGCCTCCAATATACGTCTTCGTAACGTGATTTAATCTATAGCGTTAACGGAATGTCGAGCGAAGAAATTTAGTCCAATTTTCGGCAACGAAGATGATGGGAAGTGGGGAAACGAGCACAAATATAATTGAAAGGAGGAAAGCGAATCTTCCATACTTATTCTGAAATAAGGAGGAAGAAGAGGTAACACATCGTCTTTATATATTTATTTCTCCTCACTTTTGTGCCGGGTTTAAACGCTGTGAGAAATTTATAACAAATGTAAAGTTTGGCAGCGGACATGTGCGTGGTGTATTGGGCGGGACGGCTACCTTTAGGCACGTACCTCCTCCACGGTGAGAGCAGTGTTGCCATAACCACCTTTATTTTTTGCCGGATGGAGATAATTTTTTTTTCTGGTTGAATTTGTTGTTCGCTAGTTGTTGCTGCTGCTGCTGCTTCTCTCTCGCTCTCACTCTCTCTTTTTTCAAACATGTCTCTTTACGTATACATGACGCTAATATTTAGAGAGGGACAGTTAGGTCTTGCATGCATGATTCTCTGTGTGTCTATCCCTCTCACTTGCTATTCCGGAGATGAATTAATTGCAATCCTTCAAACGCCAAAACGCAATGGAAAGATAGTATCATCCAAGAAGCCCCAGAAGCCAAAATTAAGCCCGGCTCTCAAACAGGTATACCTAAATTAGACGGATACAAGAACATCTGTCCAGCAGCCGGAGTTATTTCAAGGTAAAATAAAATTCGGCTTTCGACATCGCGGCGCAAGGCAGTGAAATTGTTTGTGCGAATTGGCAACTCAAGAAGGGAAATACCCATGTGACTTGTTAAGGAGAATATATACATTTTTGTTATAATACTTGTTTAAAGAGATTAATGCTTGCTGGATGCGTTAACCCCCTATTCTTTATGTAGGAAAATGCCGTTTCATGCGTCCTGCATTTTGATTTCAATATCCCAAGGCGGTGATCTTTACGTATACGTCAATTAACAGCTATCTACTGTTATTCCCGCTACATGGTCTTCCTCGCTCAAACATTTCTTTTATTAACACATCTAAGTTCTAAGACACGATCCATTCAATTTGAATAAGAACACCGAAGTTTGTTCACCTTTAAGGTAACAGAGAGAGCTTATCTCCAAAGTGATCTGAGTCTAAAACTGTCTCGCACTTAAAACTTTTTGAAAGACAGCAAAAGCCCGCCCCCCCCCCCCCCCGCTTGTCTCTCCGAAACTGAAGAATATTTATCATAATGTTTGTTCGGTTACGCTTTTTTTCGTTCAAGGGCGATCGATTTTTAAGGCGTGCGCGGTCAGTTCTGCAGTCGTTCTTTTTTCTTTTCTTTTCTTTTCGTTCTTTAATATGTAATTTTGGACTTAAATACTCCTCGTCTGGGTGTGTCAGTTTGGATCCGTGTGAGGTGTAAATATTTTTTTCAAATTTCTTTTCACTGCAACGGATTTTGATCAAGAAGACTGTATATTCGTTGCTATTTGAAGAGAATATAGACATCATTTAAAAAACAACGCAAGAGAAAGGACGAAATCCCGCCAAAAAATATGGGAAAAGAAAGGACGAAATCAGCTCAATGTCTTTATCCCGAATGTCCCCGAGCTATGCAATGCCGGTCCGGTTGCTTCTCCACCTGATGCACGTTGCATACTCTCACAGCCCGAGGCAAACCCTGTCTCCTTCCCCCCGCCACCCCCACCCCCCCCTCCTCCCTCCTCACCCTTTCTAACCTATCCCTCTCCACCTCTCTACCCTCCCTCATTCCCTTCCTCCCTCCCCCCACCTCCCTCCCTCCTCACCCTTCCAACCTAACCTATCCCTCTCTCACCTCTCTTCCCTCCTCTCCTCCTCCTCTCCCCATTCCCCTTCCCTCCCCTCCTCCTCACCACCTACCTATCCTCTCTCACCTCTCTACCCTCCCTCCTCCTCCTCCTCTCCCCCATTCCCCTTCCCTCCCCTCCCCCCCCACCCTCCCTCCTCACTTTTCCACCTAACCTATCCCTCTCTCACCTTCTTCCCTCCCCCCCTCCTCCTCTCCCCATTCCCCTTCCCTCCTCCCCCACCCCTCCCTCCCTCCTCACCCTTTCCACTAACCTATCCCTCTCTCACCTCTTCCCTCCTCCTCCTCCTCTCCCCTCCCCCCGCGATTTCCCCCCCCACACCTCACAGCAACGGCAGGAGGTCTCTGTACTTTTTTTCGTTGCGTTTTTTTTTTCTTTTTCTTTTTTTTAAACCTTATTGACGAAGGGAGGAACGAGCGAGAGAGAGAGAGGTCAGGTTAGCTGTTTGGGGGTCACGCACACCCAGGGGCCATGGGGTTGGGGAGGAGAGGGG